ATGGAAGTCCTTCCTGGGGCAGGGAGAAGTGGGATGGGGTCTGTAGCTGTCTCTGCTCTCCTCCTGCGGTGCCTCCAGTGCCCGGGTGTCTCGGGAACCAGCTGGAAGCGAAGCTGGACAAGCCAGATGTGGTGAACTGGATGTGCTACCGCAAAACCGAGGACTATTTCACCATCTGGCTCAACCTCAACACCTTCCTGCCAGTGGGAGTTGATTGCTGGATCGATAACACCAGGTAATGCTCACCCCTATCCCAAGAGCTCCCAGGGAAATGACCTACCAGGGATCTCCCTTCCCTCTCCTCCCCTGCTGGCCATGACCTAGCACACATAGAAACCCATGGGAACACCAGGATTGTTTGGGAACAAGCTGGCTGGCTCCTGCTCCAAGTGCCCAGACCTTTCCCGTGACATGTGCTCATGCCCAGCACAATGGAGATGCTGCCACCCTGCCTGGACACAGAGTGAGAGGTCTGCTGCAGTCTACTCCATCAGAACCTCCTGTCCTGAGGTGCCAGGCCGTCAGCATGGATGCTGGTTTAGAAACAGTTGTCGAGGTCCAAGCTGCCACCAGTGATGTCCACCTCAGCCCCATGTCATAGAATCAAGAGTGGTTGGGGTTGGAAACGACCCAAAACTCACCCAGTTCCAACCCCTGCCACTGGCAGGGACACCTTCCACTAGAGCAGGTTGCTCCAAGCCACATCCATCCTGGCCTTGGACACTGCCAAGGACAGGGCAGCCACAGCTTCTCTGGGTTACCTGTGCCAGGGCCTCACCACCTCCACAGTAAAGAACTTCTGCCTTACATGTAACCTGAACTTCCCCTGTTTCTGTTTAAGCCCATTACCCCTTGTCTTATCACCACAGTCCCTGATGAAGAGTCCTTCCCCAGCATCCTTACAGCCCCCCTTCAGATACTGGAAGGCTGCTATGAGGTCTCCACGCAGCCTTCTCTTCTCCAGGCTGAACAGCTTCAACTTTCTCAGCCTGTCTTCATACAGGAGGTGCTCCTGCCCTGCCGGGGATGTGGCTCTTCTACTACTTTCTGCCCTGTCCCCTCAGGGTGGTGTACAACCGAACCTCTCGGAAAATGTCCAATGCCCCGGGGGTGCACATCCGCGTGCCTGGCTTTGGCAAGACCTATTCTGTGGAATACTTGGATCAGAGCAAGCTGGCAGGTGAGAGGAGGAGAGTCCCGTGGTGTCCAGGGATCTCACATGCTCCCTGCCGTTATAGAGAGCCCCGTGCACATGCAAGTGAGGGACACTGGCCTCCGGGACACACTCCCTTCGAGTGCTGGCAGGGACCGTGCATCACTGACCCCAGTGCATGTGGGGCCACCACCTCTGGCTGGAGCCACCAAGCTACAGGTCTTAACAGAGAACACTGTGGCCATGATCACAGCCAGGGCGGAGAAAATCAACAGAAGACAGACCTCATTCCCACCTTTCTCTCTGCCCATAGGTTACCTGCACACCCTGGTGCAGAACCTGGTGAACAATGGCTATGTGAGGGACCAGACGGTTCGAGCAGCTCCTTATGACTGGAGGGTTGGGCCCCGTGAGTCTGGGTTTTGGGGAGGGAAGCAGGGTGGCTCTCATGGGCTGGGTGAGCTGCTGGTAGGGGGAAACCCCTGGGCAGTAGTTGATGCCGGTGACAGTGGGTGCTCTCATGTGAATGCTTGGTGGCATATATGGCCACTGCGCAGACACATCTGCCTGGTCAGGGTTCCTAGGGCCAGCCCTAGAACCCTGTGGCCATAAATGAGGTGGCCAAGAGCTGATGTCTCTCTTGTCGACAGAGGAGCAGCCTGAATACTTCCAGAACCTGAAAGCACTCATCGAGGAGATGCATGATGAGTACCAGCGCCGCGTCTTCCTCATCGCACACAGCATGGGCAACCTGAACATTCTCTACTTCCTGCTGCAGCAGACGCAAGCCTGGAAAGACCAGTACATTGGGGGCTTCATCTCCCTGGGTGCCCCATGGGGAGGGTCTGTCAAGCCCCTCCGTGTCCTGGCATCTGGTGGGTGACTGTTTGCAGCCACTTCTTGGTTTTCTTTTCCTCCTGCACAAACGGAAGGGTGGTGGTGGGCAGGAAGGGACACAGTGGTGGTGAGGGGTACACGGCTGAAGGGTCTGTGGAGGCAGTATTTGTGCTCTGGTGCTGATACTGCTGCATCCTGCAGTGAAGAAGGCACCATGGAGGTTCCTACCACAGCTCCAGCAGCAGGAGAGTGGCCCAGGGCACACTCTAGAGCTTGCTCTGGTTTCCATGGTTGGAGTTGGTGGGTTTGTGTGTATGGAAAAATGCTGGGTCCACCTGCAGCCTGGCTATATCCTTCCTTCTGCACAGTTCTTGCCAGACATCCTGCAGCACAGCCTGCACCATGCAGCATGGGCTAGGGGTGCCAAAGCACCCATCCACAAACCTTGGGGCTACAGCAGCAGCGCAGGTCATGCTTGTTCCCATCCCACCGCCTCCCTAGGCATCAGCACCACCTCCGTCCATGCAGAACAGTGAGGTTGCTGGACTTTTGCTGCATACCCTGCATCTCTTCTGCAGTAGAGGACATGGAGGCCATCCCCCATAGACTTTGCTATCTTCAGGCTTCAGTCTCCCTTTGCCATCTTCAGGCTTCAATCTCCCTTTGCCCAGTTCCTCTTTAGCCTGTTTGCAGCCCAGAAAGCCACAGCCACTTGCCTAATGCTGACAACCCAGAATATCTCCAGGTCACAAGCTGAGCCTCCAAAAATGCATGGGGTTAAAAATCATGTGCTTGAAGAGTTATCATCTGGCCCCCTGCATCACCCTTAAGTCACCTCCTCATATTTTTCTCTGTTGGCACAAGGTCCAGAGGTAATCTGGGATTGTTGTGTGGTTTTAGGACTCCAGACATAGCAACAAAGCGAAGGCTTGCAGGAGACGTGCACATTGGCCACCTACTATCAGCACCCTCCCCAGGCTCAGCTCTCTCCTGTCCCTGCAGGCAGGTGTGGAGGTGCCGGGGTTGAAGGGAATGTCCAGGGCTGGGTTGGTCAGGGCCATCACAAGTCCAGGTTTGTCTACACTCAGCCCCTCCAACAGCTAGAGATGTGATGCCAGATAAGATTTGGAAGGTTACTCTGGATATCTGCAGCCAGAGGGGTGAGGAGGGTGCTCAGTAGGGAAAGATCTGAGGTGGAGTCATACTCCAGACCAGGAGATGGATGTGAGCCACAGGTGGATGGGCTAATCCCAACACAGCCCCACAAGGAGCTGCATTTGTGAGGGTACCTTTCAGTGCTATTGCTGACAAGCCCCTGTGTGTCCTGCAGGTGACAATCAGGGCATCCCACTCATGTCCAACATCAAGCTGCGTGAAGAGCAGCGCATGACCACCACCAGCCCCTGGATGTTCCCAACAAATTTGGCCTGGCCCGAGACCCATGTTTTCATCTCCACGCCCTCCTACAATTACACTTACCAGGACTACAAACGCTTCTTCACCGATGTCAACTTGGAGGATGGCTGGTACATGTGGGAGGACATGAAGGACTTGCTGAAGGACTTGCCGCCTCCCGGGGTGGACACATATTGCCTCTACGGCACAGGCTACCCCACCGTGGAGACTTACATATATGATGAGCATTTCCCTTATGAGGACCCTGTGGACATGATCTATGGTGATGGGGATGACACCGTCAACACACGCAGTTCGGAGTTGTGCAAGCGATGGCGTGACCAGCAAAAGCAGAAGGTGCATGTCAAGGAGCTGCAAGGCGTTGACCACCTCAACATGGTCTTCAGCAACCTGACGCTCAGCTCCATCAATGAAATCCTGCTGGGGAAAGCACAGAAGCAGGGGGAGCCGGTGGAGCTGAGATCCAGGCCAGAGGCCAGGAAAGTGGGGAAGATCCTACCTGAGCACAAAGTCCTTAAGGAACCCAAAAAGAACTGAAAGGAATGAGGGACAACTTCTCTCCATGCTGGTAGCCACCACAAGCTGTCATGCAGGGGGGCAAAGGACTTGGAGCTGAATTTGGAAGGAAAAGGAGCAAGACCTACAGCTCAGGTGGATGGGCTGGCACCCACTTCCACTCTGAGTGGGTTTTTTTGGGGGGGGGGGGGGAATGACAATTACTTATACTACAGAGGCTTGTCACTTCCCACTAGTGGGTGGATAATTAACCGCACTGCCAGCTCATCCCACTTGTAAATTACATTGTATGCAAAAAACCTCATCGCTAGCAAGCCATGTTTAGGCACTTTGGAGGCTGTGGAGCACACGGGGCTGTAGCCTATGCTCACCTGGGACAGATCATCTTGCATCAGAGCAGGCTGTGCTTATCACGGTGGTCACGGAGATGGCATGAGGGTGTTACAGCAGGTATGGCCTTCAAGAACAGCTCTGCCAGCCGCTGCATGCAGTCAGGTGCCCTGGGCAAGACCGGCTCAGAATCAGCATATTGCCGAAATAATAAATATACTTTGCTTCTGAGCCTGCCTGGTCCTTACGTGTTGGGTGGGTGACACCAGCCAGCAGCCAACACTGAGCGGTCGCTGGCACCCCAGGAGCCAGGGCTTTGGGAAAAGCCATGTGCTTGGCAATGAAGCTGGGATTGGTGATGTGAGAGGGCTGGCAGCATGATTGGGGTGACAAATGATTGGGGTTGGTGACATGACCAGGGTGATGATGTGACTTGGGATGGTGACAGAAAGAGGGTTGATGACGCAGCCAAGTTTGGTGACACAACCACGGCAGGGCATGCATCCGTGCTGGGGATGCACCTGGGCTGGGGATACAGCTGGGATGCACCCCGAGGCCCCGTTGCGGAGCGCAGCGGCCCGCGCCGCTTCGTGCCGTGCCCGGCTCCTCCCCACTCCGTACCGCTGAGCCCGGGGCGGAGCCGGGCGGGCCGCAGAGCGGCGCCGAGGGGCGGGGCTCTCTGCAAGCGCTGCGCTGCTATTGGCTCTTTCTCCCCTGGCGCGGCGCCGATTGGCGGGAGGCGGCGCTTGCCCGGGGCGGCGGCGCGGGTTGTGGTGGTGTCGCGCCGGGGGCCATGGTGCTGGACCCGGCGGCGACTGCGGGGCTTGGTGGCAGTGCGGCACCCACCCTGGCCGCCCGCCATGGCCCACCGCTCTGCTCCTGCCCGTCCCCGCCGACACCATCACCTGCGCTCCGTTGCCCGCGGGGAACCCGGCGTCTGTCGGAAACCGGGGCCGTGATGCAGAGGAACGAAGGCGCGGGGATGCGCGGGGGTCTGCGCGCCGCCGCGTCCCTGCCCCATATCGCGCGGGGTCGCGGGGAGGAGGGCGGCGGGCGGCGGAGCCCCTGCCTGCTCGTAGCGCTGCGGCCGTGCAATGTGGAGGCGGAGCGGGAGCGGTTCTTCCGCGCCAGCTTTGCCTATGACCCGCAGTTCGAGTACGCCGAGCCCGTGCCCGCCGCTGTACTGGATAAGTACGCGGCCGCTTCCGATCGCTTCGTGGCTCAGGTAAGGCGGGGACGACGCGGGGAGCTGCCCGCCCCCGGTGCCCGCGGGGGGACGAGCGACACGGTGCTGCGCGGGAGGGGAAGGAGGAGGAGAAGGGACCGGCCCCTGTTCCCCGACTTCCTCCCGCCACGTGCTGTGAAGGTGTGGGTACTCTTCTTTTTGGGTGATACCATGGGGAATGGGTCACGTTGGGACCGCTCATGGCTGGTCCGTAAGCCATGTGGAACCCCATTGCCCGCCTTCCCTCTCGGCTCTCAACACCTCTGACATCCTGCCTGCAGCGCCCTCCGTGATTTATTAAACTCCAGATGACAAACCTGCCTGCGGGAACCGTGGTGAACGTACATGGTGCCGCCAGCACCACCCCTAGCCTGGCTCGTGCTAATGGGTGCACGGCGGTGGTTAGGAGCTGGTGCTCCATCAAGGGCTCCTCGCTGGTGTTTGATTTGTGTTTTTGTTTGGCACTTGTTGCTGTAGAAATAACAGCTGAGAAGCTGGAGCACGTGGGTGACCACGTGGGAAACAGTCCTTATCCTGAAGATTAAGTCTGGCTTGTTCTCTGGAAGTCCTCAAAGTTGACCAGTGGAGTGGCATCCTTACAGCATCACCAGATGTTGTCAGTAATGGTAACAGTTGATGTAGACTCCTCTTAAGGAGGCGGTGTTATTTTGCTTAACTGTACCTGTTGCTCGTACGCTACTGAAATAGTCCTGACAGGCTCTCTGCTGCAGGTATGTAGTGCTGCGTGGATGTAGGGCGCAAACAGCACTGGGAGCACGCAGGCACGACCGATCCTGATGCTCTGCCTGCACACGAGCCTTTTATAGGTGCAGGCGGGGAATGAAACTGCTCCATCCCTTCACTCTGTGCTTGGAGCATACCCCAGAACCAATTCACTCCTCGGACAGGGCATCCCACCTCTGCAAGAGCATCTTTTCCACCACACAGACCTATTTTAGTTGCGTATGTAGGAGCAGGTATAAAACCTCTTACCCTGAGTTCATTTTTGCACCCCAGAAGTGTTTGTTTCCACCTCCAAGTTGGAGCTTACATCTGGTTTCATGTAACAGCTGCTTCACCAATTTATTTATTGTGATTTTTTGGGTATTTACTTATTTTTCCATTACTTCGCACATATCTGCCTGAATTATTATGCAGATAATTGAGGCTCTTCCTATAGCCAGGTTTCTAAGCACTTAGTATTTCCAGTGCATCTTCCCTGGGTAAACTGCTGTCAGTGGTGCTGTGGCAGGGGAGATGCTCTCACCCCCATCAAGACCTTGGTGGCTTCTCAGTGTTTTCTTCCTGCATTTAAGTGCTTTTCACTCTCTGAGTAATACAGTAAAATGAGTTGTTTAGAGCTATTTCTCCACTTGCTTTATCTTTTTGACTTACAGTGTAGTAAAAGATGAAGTTAAATGTTCCTAACCAGGATGAGCAGTCTTACTCTGAATCTGAAACCCTTTGCAAGAGATGTAGTGTTGAGTTTCTACCAGTGTTTTTCCAAGTTCTCCACTGACAGTGCCATGGGACAGTTCTCATGTTGCTGTTCCTTTGCTTGTACCCTGCAGTGACCTCCTTCCAGTCTCTTATTTTGGGAAACTTTTTGCCTTGCCAGCTATTATCTATAAACTGCTTTTATTAAAAAAAAAAAACACTGCATTAATTAAGGAGCTTAAATAAATGAGACATTTTGCTAAGCCAGCATCCTTGGACAAGAGCTGTGGGGACAACACAAGAGAGACATGGAGTTGTTGAGCAAATCCAGAGGAGGCCACAGAGGTGCTGCGAGGGCTGGAACAGCTCTGCTCTGGAGACAGGCTGAGAGAGCTCGGCTGTTTCAGCCTGGAGAAGAGAAGGCTCCTTAAGGGGAGACCTTAGAGCAGCTCCAGTGCCTAAAGGCACTACAAGAAACCTGGAAGGGGGCTTTGGACAAGGGCCTGTAGGGACAGGACAAGGGGGAATGGCTTTAACCTGACAGAGGGGAGATTGAGATGAGATCTTAGGCAGAAGTTCTTCCCTGTGAGGGCACTGAGGCCCTGGCACAGGGTGCCCAGAGAAGCTGTGGCTGCCCCATCTCTGGCAGCGTTCAAAGCCAGGTTGGATGGAGCTTGGAGCAACCTGCTCTAGTGGAAGGTGTCCCTGTCTGTGGCAGGGGTTGGAACTGGGTGAGCTTTAAGGGCCTTTCCAACCCAAACCATTCTATGATTCTATGAAACCAACACCCTCTCCCCTCTTCCAGCTTACTGCTCCACCACTTCCTTTACACATGCCTTGTGGTGGGGGGCAGGAATAAACCAGGAGGATTTTTCTAGCCCCATGGTGGGCGCTCATCACCCTAGAAATCACATCCCTGGTTTGTCATGGGATCATGAGCAGCACCAGCCCAAAACTGGAGCTGGAGGATTTATGCCACTGCGTATGGTGGGTACGTGATTTCAGGCTGCCCAGGGGGATGCTCTGTGCCTCTCAGAATGCTAAACTTGAGATCTTAGGAATTTTGCTCATTAGGACAAGCTGGAGTTCTTTGGTCCTCCTACTCCTGGGCACCAGCTGTACTGGGTTTCTCTTGGCTCAGTGCTTTACAGAGCAAGGAGTCTCAGCAGAGGTGGGAGGAAGAAATGATCCTTTTTCTGCAGCTGTCAGCAGCAGGTACCTTGTGATGCTGCAAAAACCATCCTGAATATTCAGTGAATGAAATAAAACACCCAGATCAAAAATCCCCCCAACAAAACCAACGGTAAAAACCTCAGAAACTGGAGAACCTGCACAACTTCTCACACAGTAAGTGACTGGAGAATAAAAACCAGCTGTGCAGAGAAGACTGTTCAGGGAAGGAGAATCAGGGGTGGAGGAGGCTGTTCACCAGGTGCAGACCATGAAGCCCCTCTAACATGGCGTTGGATGGTTTGAGTGCTGGAGGTGGTGCTGAGCACCCATCTTCTGATCCTGGGAGATCTTAGAGATGAAGGAGGGGGTGGCTCCAGGCAGCACCTGGAGCCCATATGAGAGCAAAGGGGGGTCACAAACTGTGTAGACAAGGCTGTTAGTGACATGATTTAGTGGTGGCTTTGGCAGTGCTGGGGAACAGTTGGACTTGATGATTTGAAAGATCTTTTCCAGTCTGGTTGATTCTGTGACTTGATGATTCTGTGCTCAGCAGGAGGAAGGTAAATAGGCACCGTTCAGGAGCAGCAGCCTTGGCCTGGGAAGCTCAGCAGTAGCTCAGCCAGGTTTACAGATTCAATAAAACTGCTAGAAAAACTCCAGGAGTGGTTCAAAGTCATCATTGTCTGCTTTGGAATATGTATGAGTAGGATGGAGAAAGTAATTGCTTAAAAATGTCTACAATGAAAACTCTCTTTTGGGGAAGGAAACATGCTGTTAAATGCTCTTATTTTATAGATGCTTCATAAATGATAATGCTAATAAAATAGCACGTGCTGCTTCTAACCAAGGTGAGAAAGCTGTTGGTGTGCAGCAGGCTGTTTGTGCCCAGAACCCTGTCTGAAGAGGCAGAGGCAGTATTGCTGCTGGGCTTGCAGTCCAGCCCTGCAGTGAGAAATGATCTAATTGATTAACCTGATCTAGTTGAAGGTGTCCCTCTTCACTGCATGAGATTGACCTAGGTGAGCTTTTAAGGTCTCTTCCAGCCCGAACTGTTCTATGACTATGAAACTCTTGGAGTAAAAAGCAAGCTGGTAAGCTGGACCTCTTTGTGCAAGCACTAGGATTGGAAAGGAGAACTGAAAGCAGAAAAGTTGAAGATAACTCTGGCTTTAACCTCCTGAAGCAGCGTGCTGTGACAATGCTCTTTCACTTCTGCTTTGCCCTGTTCCTATACCAGATGCTTGCAAGGGTGATAAAAAGCAGCAAGCATATCCTGTGGGTCATGCAGATTGCACTGAGTGTCAGTCTGTCCTGGTGGCCACATACAACTGGCTCAGTCTCCTTGGGTCTTTAGATACTGCAGAACCACTTCAGAGTGGGATTATGTCTGCTGAGTTTTATGGCATGTGGGATTCTAAAATGTGTTTATAAACAGAAGGGTGTTTGCACTGATATTTCCTTTCTCTGTGCAACAGGCAATCAGGATCATTCGTGCTGTCTTGGAGAAGTATGGTACCTACGAGTGCTTTGAAGTTGCCACAGGCGGGAGGCTGCTGAGCAAGTGCCAGATCTGGTCTGTGATCCGAAAGTACATGCAGAAGGAGGGCTGTGTGGGAGAGGTAATCTGTGTCCCTGCTTCATTGCTTGTAAAATACAAATACTTAGTTTCTGGTAAAAAGGACTCATTAAGAAGAAATGTTTCAGGTACAAAGAGGTAATCTTTCTTCTGCCATGGTGACCTTTCCATGTTGGCTATGTTTGTTCTGCCCTGGTGCTAGGACATGAGTGCTGGCTCCCCATCTTATTTCCCTTGATTTTTTTACTTTATGTCCCTTTTATGCTTGAGAAGTAGAGAGAGGAGCTGCTGCTTGTCTGCATGGCCATGCAAGGAGCCTTTTGCTGCTTGCATGCAGTATCAATTTCCATCAGGAAATCTCCTGCTGTTAGGAATGGTATGGCAAACATCTTCAACAGCTGCCTTCGTTGACATAGCCAAAAGCAAAGCCAGGGAAGAGATTTCCTGTGGGCTGTGCTGGATAATGATACTTTGAAACTCCACACTTTGGTTTTAAGGCTGGGAAATACATGGGCACATTTGACAGTAGCAGTGTGGGATGGAGCATGGGGAGAAGTTCAGCATCTCTTCATCTGGTTTCTCAGTGACTCCAGCAGCATTCAGTGGGGGATGTTCTGCAGCTTTGGTTAAGGGGCATTTTTTCCCCCTTCTGCCAGCAAGGTGTGAGCAAAACACTTCCACCATCCTGGATTCAAGCACTGAGGATTTCTGAACCTGACTTTGCTTTCTTTGGCTCCTGGCGTTCCCTTCAGCTGTTGGCCACAGGGCAGGAGGCCACAAAGTGCTGACTGGCATGGGAGTTTCCTCACCACTGCCTTGTGACCAGGCTGTTCTTCCTAGCTCTGATTTTTCACCTCCATCTCCAAACAGGGTCATTCACAGGCATTTCCCTAAAGCACCAACTTGCTTGGTGCTACCCAGCATATTTCATGCAGGAGGGAACAGTTCCTGAGGTCCCACCTGGCCAGGGGACATTCCTCTACCAGCCTCCTTGGTTTGCCTTGATACCTCCTGGGAGTGGCCCTAGGATGTGGATTGGGCACCTCGGTCCTCCTGAGCCTTTGCTTAGGACAGAAGGATTTCTGCAAATATTTTCCTATAATGCCCCATTCCTGGCAGTGTTTAAGGCCAGGTTGGACACAGGGGCTTGCAGCAACCTGCGCTAGTGGAAGGTGTCCCTGCCCATGGCAAGGGATGGAACTGGATGAGCTTTAAGGTCCCTTCCAACCCAAGCCATTCTGTGATTCTATGATTCTAATTCAGCTGCCTTTTAGTACCTGGAACCAGTTCCAGTACCCAGCCTAGCAGCTGGCCAGTCTTACTTAACAGATCTGCGCTTATGACTTGCTTGTTGTGGTCTGTCTCTCCCTTGATTTTATTGACTAAATTCAGCTATTCCCCTCTTCTGAATTAGTCTAACCCAAATTATGCTTTGGCTGGGCAGAAAGACAACTTTTTCCTTACATGTTCATGTACAACTGGCTTCCAGCCCTGTGTAACTTTCCCTTTGCTCAAAGGAGTGCGGTGTTCAGTAATTACATTTGCACATCAACATGTGAGATCCGTGGCTATTTTATCCAGAATTTTTGATAAGAGCTTTTAAAAACTTTAAAGCATTGATTTATTTATTGTTACCCAGGAATTTTGCTGAGTTGCTCTGGGGCAGGGCATAGGGAAGGGTTTTATGTGCTTTTGGTATAGCAATGTTGGCCAAGTTCATTCCTTGTACTGGACAAAAACTTGCTGCAATTTCTGCATCACTGATGATTTAACACCCTGCTGGGGAGCGGGGTGGTTCAGATGTGTATTCCCCACTCCACACCTCTATCTATGGTTCTTCATTTCCACCTGCTGTGCCCCAGGCTGTTCACTTCCCTGATGTGTACTAATTGTGATGGCTTTCTTCAGATGAAGGAGAAACTCTAGCCTTGGTGGTTCTGTTAGCCCCAGACTGACCCCCTGATGTGCCAGCCACTTGCAGGCAGCATAGCCACAATGCAGACACTCACTCACTGCAGGCATCATGGCAGTATTGGTGACATTCATTCAGTATAGGCAGTGTGGTTTGTCCAGTGACACTTACTCTCTGGTGAACACACTGCAGGCAGAGTGCACACACTGGTGACACTGCAGGCATAGTGGAAGCAGTGTGACACTAAATCACTGCATGCAGCATGGCTGCACTGGTGACACTCACTTACTGCAGGCATTGTGGCCGCATTGGTGACATTTACTCAGTGCAGGCACTGCGTCTGCACTGGTGACACTCACTGCAGGCAGCGAAGCCACACTGGTGGCATTCATTAAGTTCAGGAAGCATGGCTGCACTGGTGACACTCACTCACTGCAGGCATTGTGGCTGCACTGAGGACACTCACTCATTGCAGGCAGCGTGGCCACACTGGTAAGACTCACTGCCGGCAGTGAGGCTGCAGTGTTGATACTCACTCAATGCAGACAGTGTGGCTGCGCTGGTGGCACTCACTGCAGGCAGAGTGGCTGCACTCATGAGATTCACTCACTTCCGGCAATTTAGCTGCACTGGTGACACACTCTGCAGGTGGTATGGCTGCCCTAGTGACGCTCACTCATTATAGGCAGCGTGGCCGCTCTGGTGACACTCTCTGCAGGCAATACGGTCAGGCTGGTGACACTTACTCACTGTAGGCAGTGTGCCTGCACTCGTGACATTTGGACGCTGTGGCTGCACTGGTGACACACTCACTGCAGGAAACATGGCTACACTGGTGACTCTCAGTCACTGCATGCAGCAAGGCTGCACTGGTGACACTAGCTCCCTGCAGGAAACGTGGCTGCACTTGTGACATTCACTCACTTCTGGCACTGTGTCTGCACCGGAGACAGTGTAGGCAGTGTGGCTGCACTGGTTACACTCATTTGCTGCAGGCATCATGGCAGGGCTGGTGACACTCACTCCCTGCAGGCAGTGTTCCTGCACTGGTGACATTCACTAAGTTCGGGCAGCGTGGCTGCACTGTTGACACTCACTGCAGGCAGCGTGGTTGGGCTGGTGACACTCAGTTCAGGCAGCTGCCTTTTGTCCCCAGCATCCATCAGGGGATGGCAGGATCCCACTTACTAGCACTGCAGGCAGTGTGCTCCTGGGTAAGTATTTGCACAGTTATTAACTTGGCACCTTCAAGAACTTTTTTATTGGGTCCAGGGTGCAGATCCTGAAGCTCTTCTGCTTTTCTCTGGCTCAGAACTGTTCTGGCGCTGCCGGAGCTCAGAGGTCTCCATATGGATTTTGGGGAGCGAGCTGGCAGCTTGCAGCAGAGAAACTCCTGACCCCATTGGTAAGTGCTGTGTGGCAATCTCTGGGGTTGTGAAGTATTGTTACTTCAGTAGTGGTAGCTGGCATCATCTTGGATCCCATCATGGGTGCCCCTCCACCTTCAAGCTGCTCAGTGCTGGAGCTTTCCTGGCATGCGAGTTCCTGAGCAGTTCCAGGGAGCTGGGGTAAGGCAGGAGCCTGTGCCCTGGTGCCATCAGCAGTCTTCCATCTGGGAGCAAGCTTTTTCTCCATTGTGTCCACAAAACCTGAGCAGAAGCTTTGTGGACCATGAGAATGTGCTGGGGGAACCTGCATAGCTCACAAGAGGTCACAAACGCGGAGAGCTGCTCATTGCTGCTCCAGGAATAAGACTTTGGATGAAGTCACAGACCCTGTTGTAACAGCATCTGCAAAGCTGGGGAGTCCCAAGATAAGGCAAGTGTTGCTGCTTAGTGAGTGGATGGGTGGCTCCAGCTGGAGAAGGGCTGTGGGCTGTGTCACAGGAGTGTGCAAAGCTGTGGAGAGTCCCTTCCCATCTCTTCTGATGGCTGGCTCTGCATGGGGGGACTGTTGGCACCTCTGTTTAGTGAGAAAAATACATACTTCATTGCCAAAAACGGGAAAAAGATAAAAGAACACAAGCCAGTACCCCAGAACATCACCACAGAATCACAGAATGGTTTGGGTTGGAAAGGACCTTAAGATCATCCAATGCCATGGGCAGGGACACCTTCCACTAGACAAGGTTGCCCAAGGCCTCATCCAGCCTGGCCTTGAACATTGCCAGTGATGGGGCATTATAGAAAGAGATTTGCAGAAATGCCTTCTGTCCTAAGCGAAGGCTCAGGAGGACCAAAATGCCTAATTCACATTCAAGGCCAGGTTGGACAGGCCTTGGAGCAACCTGGTCTAGTGGCAGGGGGTTGGAACTGGATGATCCTTGAGTTTCCTTCCAGCCCAAACCAGGCTGGGATTCCATGATTCTTTGTTTAAAGGTTTAAAGTCTGGCCCCTGCCTCTCACCTCCTGCATCCCAGGATTTCAGCCTCCACTAGTTGGCAGTTGGGATGGCCATGTCAGATATCCAGGATTGTATTACCGTCACATGGAGCTGACCTATGAGATGGGAATTGGTTAAAGTCATACCAAAACCTGGCCCCTTCCTGCCTCCTTAATTCTGCTTGTGGTGAAGCTAAAACCTTTCCTGCCTGTCATTGCTGACAACAGAAGCTGCTGCTGTTTCCAGAAGTTTTCTCCCCACCAAAAACCCCCATGAAAACTCATGAGGCTGGTCGTGATGATCTTGCTGGCAATGAAATCGGTTTTACTCTGCATCAGTTCCCTGCCTCAGTTTATCTCAGGTCAGCAAGGTCCATGGCGAAACATGGGAGAAGGCAGCAAAACTGCATCTTTACGTGTTTTGTCCTCCTTACTGGAGCAGAAACAGAGCTCAAGAGTGCACACAACTCCTGAGTGAACTGGCAAGTCTTTTCTCAGAGATGGAGGGATTGTACTTCATGCTGGTGTATTTTAATACAGCTAAGAAACTGCACTGTAAGGATTGGATGCCAGTTTTTCTGTCTGGTGGTATGCTCTGTTCTGCTGCACCTCAGTTTTCATGAGCAGCTTGGCATAATAATAAATACGAGTTAAAGCAATCAGTCAACTCAGTCTCCTCATTTTTGTTTTAAAATGCAAAGAATTGTTCTGTAGCAATATGTGTGCACATTTTCATTTTGAAAGATGTCAGCTGTGCAATAATAGATGGGGGTTAGAGTTAATGTGTATGTGGGGGATGAGTTTTGAGATGAAATTGTTACATCCTGAGCAAACCTTGAATGTGGGAGCTCCCGGGCTGCCTCCTCTTGCTGATGTTGTGGCTTTCAGTTGCTGCAGGTCTAAAGTTGGATGATGAGAAAGTGCTGCTTGGCTGGCACATTACCTCCTGTTAACACAGAACAGCTGTCTTGTCTCCATCACTTTCCAAAATAGTTGATATTTCTTTATAAAGATACTCACCAGTCCTTTGCATGCATTGCCTGTCCCTGCAGTGGGCGCATGCGGATCCTTCTGCGAGGCTGGGCTGGTGTGAATCTGTCCTCAGTGCTCCTGTTGTGGAGCCTTGAAAGGGAGAATCCACAGGAGAGTCCATGAAAATGGAGCCGGAGCCTTCGTTCCCTCATGGGGTATTTACTGGGGTCTAGAGGTTGGACCCACAACAAAGCAGGTGCTGTTGGTTGTTTTGGTGTCTGATTTTTACTGCGTGATCCAACTGCTAGTGGGGATGGAGGAGTGGGACCAGGCAGGTCTCAAGGATGGCCATCAGTGTGGACATAAAACGATGGGGAGCCCATAGGAATGAGCTGGGGGTGGGAGGGGGAATACTGGAGGCAGAGTTGCTGGAGGAGGCTGTAAAGAGGTAAAGGAGTTATTTCATCCATGTGTGGGATCATCTTTTTCCTCTCAGTGACCTCCCTGCCTGCTCCTGCTGCCTGTGGTTTCTTTGAGGAGCTGCAGCACAAGCTGGTGATGGTGCAGCAGTGCTGGACACACTGTTAGTGACTTTTTCTTATCATCCACCCCCATCAGCTTCTGCTTAGAGCCAAGACCCCACTGAGCATCTCCTCCTGCAGCAGTGCTGATGGAGGTTGCCTCTTTCTTCTGCAGGTGGTGGTGCAGCTCACTGATGACCTCCTGTCCCAGGCGGTGATGATGGTGGAGGACAGCCGGCCAACGCTGGCCATCAATCTGGCTGGGGCCCGGCAGCACTGGCTGGAGGGGATGCTGCGCCATGAGATCGGTCAGCAGTACAGTGGCTGTGGGTGATGGGCAGAGCAGGGGCAATGCTGGGAGCATTCTCTGGCTGGTAACGGCCTGGGGGCTGTGGGGACTATGGACATGGTGGTACCCCCTGGGTCCTTGCAGGAGGCATCCTGGAGACAGGTTTTGGAAAGGTGTGAGGCCGCTGGGTCCTTCTCTGCATGCAGGGCCAGGGGGTGTCAAGCACCCACCCGTGTACCCATGTGCCTGCCCGGGCTGCAGAGCAAGCAGACATCCCATGGTAGCGTCTCCAGCCAGGACTGGAACCAGTACCCATGGATGTGACTTGGCAAAGGGTGTTGCGAGTTGAGATTTTTGGAGGCTGTGGCCATTGGTGCTCACTCCCACCCTCCTCCCCAGGCACCCACTACATCCGGGGGGTGAACAACACCCGCCAGCCCTGGCACAGCTCTGAGGGCCGCAAGCAGTACAGCCTGAAGCCTGCCAACCCCACGGAGGAAGGCTTGGCCAGCTTGCACAGCGTCCTCTTCCGCAAGCAGCCCTTCCTGTGGCGAGCAGCCCTGCTCTACTACACCATCGAGCGCGCCAGCCGCCTCTCCTTCTCCGCCCTCTTCCAGGACCTGGAGCAGTATGTCCAGGATGCTGGCATCCGGTGGGAATACTGTGTGCGGGCAAAGAGGGGCCAGACCGACACCTCACAACCAGGTAATGCTCAGGGCTGGGGGGGGGGGCGGATGTATGTGCAAAGCTTTTGGGGTTTGGAAGGGATTTTATATTCTTTTTAGAAGTAAAAACAGTGATGGGTTTGTTTTGCACCTGGGTGGGTTGGGCATCGCTGGTTCTGTGGCCATGGCCCCATTGGAAAGGGTGGCTCTGCCCAACCCACATCACTTCCCATTCCCATCAGGTGGTTCCAGTCTGATGGGAGCGACTCACACAAGGAGGCAGCAGCCAAAAGAGAGATAAAATGAGCATTTCTGGACACAATTTAAATTCTTGCAGTGGCTTACCATGAAAAAAAAATAGTAAAGGTAAAAAACTGGTGAAAATTGGAATGGTAAATGGAAAAATATGTTAAGGAGGAAGATGTAATGACAGCTTTTAGCATCTAAAGTTATGACATGCTTAAGGTTATTAAGCTTTCTTCTTGATGTTTTGTTTTGATGGGGGCGGGGGGGCTTTAATGGCTGCTTTCTAGGGAATACAGATTGGAAGTGACACAAAGCTGACCGGGGGTAAAGTAATAGGGCAGGCAGGCTGCAAAGAAAAATGACAAGTAATTGGGAGGAAAGGTGAAAACATCCCAGGGAGAGGTTTGGGGCTCTCACTGCTTCTGGCTGCCTCCTTGGTCACCGGAGCTGCTCCCCAGTGCTCAACCTTTGGGACCCAGCAGTCCTGGCCATGGACCAGCAACACCTGAGCTCTGGTGCACTCATATCACCCCAGCCCAGTGCCATTGCTCTGGTTACAGTGGTCAGCAGGCGTTGGGGTGAGTGGAGGGTGGTGAGGACCCAGGCTCCTGCTCCCTGGCCTCTCCCGCTTTTCCAGGCTGTTTCAGTAAGGACCAGGTCTACCTGGACGGGATTCTCCGCATCCTGCGCCATCGGCAGACCATTGACTTCCCATTGCTGGCTGCACTTGGAAAGGTAACAGCCAGGGGGAAAGTGGGAAACACCAGTCACAGAGCCCTGTCCCAGCCTATGGAGACAGGCTGAGAGAGCTGGGCTGGCTCAGCCTGCTGAAGAGAAGGCTCCTTAAGGACGGATCTTAGAGCAGCTCCAGTGCCAAAAGGGGCTACAAGAAACCTGGAGAGGGGCTTTGGACAAGGGCCTGTAGGGACAGGACAAGGGGGAATGGCTTTAACCTGACAGAGGGGAGACCGAGATGAGATCTTAGGCAGAAGTTCTTCCCTGTGAGGGTGGTGAGGCCCTTGCACAGGTTGCCCAGGGAAGCAGTGGCTGCCCCATCCCTGGTGGGCTGCGGGGCTGGGACAGACACCTTCCTTGGGATGGTTTGGGATGAGTTGTGGGGGGCTAACCCCACCTCCCTGCTTCCCATCAGGTCTCTTATGAAGATGTGAATCGGCTGAAGAAATTTGGGGTGCTGGAGAAAGCCCGCATCCCTCATTTCATGCAGGACCTGGAGCGGTACATGAAGCAGCTGGACCACATCATCACCACCAACTGCTTAAATGAGGAGGAGCTGCAGCAGCTGCTGCCTGAGGAGCAGCAACCCCCCAAAGCCGGCACTCCAAGGGTGTAACTACTGGGATTTATGTGATATGTATTAGGACTGGAGCCTGGAAGAGCGGGCAGAGCCTGGGCCTCCCTCTGCACCAAGATGGCCACTGTGCATGTTCTGCTGTGTAGGGTAGCTCTGGTGTGGTTCGTGTTGATGTGTCGTGTCCCCCACACTGTCCCCTCTGCACTTGCGGGGACAGCTGTGTGGTTCCACATGGCTCTGGGGATCTGGAGAAGAGGGTTCAGAGGGAGCAAGGGCAAAGCTGCAGCATGTGCTGGCACCCGAGATGAGTCTACGTGGGGCAGTTGTAGTGGTGGGGTATGTCCTTAAGGTACATGGGGTGCTCCCAGTAGAGTGGGGGGCACCTACTAAGGGCTTGGGTCTCTGGGCTGTGCTGGCAGGGAATAAGGGCTGGCCCATACCAACTGATAACCCTGTGCATGTGTTTCCCCTCCCTATTCCTTCTCTCGTGCAGCAGAAAGGACTTTAACCTCTCCAAATCCCTGCTCTCCACCACAGGTATTTGCCCACCATTAACCATCGTCCTGCAGCCACTGCCTGGCTCTGAGGACTCGGGGTGGGCATTGGACTTGTTTGTTAGGAAAAAGCATGTAATAAAACTGATGTCGTGGAAACACTGAGTGGACAATAGGTCATGGCAAAGCTGCACAGCCCCAAACTGCTGTGTCAGGAGCTGGATGGGTTCACCAGAGTGCATAAAACAAGTTGGCAGGGACATGTATAAACCACAGCAGGCAAAAGCAGAAGCTGCCCGTGTGCTGCTCCTGATCTCTAACATATGATCTCTACTGCAGTTGTGCCACCCATAAGAGGGCCCTTTCTTTATAAAACAAAAAAAAAACAGATTTGGTTTTAGCTTCTTGTCACCTTTCATCCCACTGAGCTCCTGCAAAGGGAGCCCAGGCTACTTTGTGGCTCCAGGAAGCCCAGGCTCAATCACAAAAGCTCCAGGTTTGACTACAAGCCCACCTCAAAGCACCTCCAGCTGCCTCACACCACAGGTCTTGCAGGGGAGCTGCAGCCCCTCTGCAAGGTGCAGATGTTGTGGTAGCACACAGCAAGCTTGGGAAGGGATAAGATCACTTATACTGGAGGGGATTTTGCTTCCCTCTGGTCAGGTCTCCAATATCACACTGGTGTTTTTAAAAGCTCCCCCCGTTTGAACACACTGCTAACATGGTCAGTTAGACTCTGCTCTTTAATGTGCTATTTCTTTCAACGTTGCCATCCCCAACCTCAAACACGACGCAGCACTGCTTTAAGAAGGTCCTGCCACACACCCCAGCACCACCCACCCCCCTAGTCATCCCAAGGAGTAAGGCCTCAACTGGCAATAAGAACCAACCAAGGGAAGACTCGTGGTGCTAAGAACCAACCAAGGGAAGACTCTTGTGGTGCTAAGAACCAACCAAGGGAAGACTCTTGCGGTGCTAGGAACCAAGGGAAGACTCTTGCGGCCTTTCTAGTGGAAATGGCAGCAATGACAGAGGGCAGCGTAGCTACTGCGGTGGTTTGGGTTGCATCCCTGATGATATAACAGCATGGAGATGAGAGAAAGGGTTAATCTTTCTCCCCAGCAGGGCTAGAAGCGCTTCATCTGGCGGCGTTCTTGGCGGCGTTGCTTCTTCTCGTTTGGTTCCTGACCGGCAGGTGAAGACTCAGCTGTAAACCAGGGCCCCAGGATGTTCACCCACAGCAGGTAGAGAGCGCGCCCCGGAGCCTGCAACACACACACATGGGACAAACTCGGTCACACTGGGGCTGCTCCCACTGAGGAAATCAAAGGAGTTGGAGTAATTCTCCAGGCTGGATCACAGGATGCACGGAAATCAAAGGCAGGCATCCAATATTCATGGCCTGATTTCATACGGTTTAAGAACTTGCATACGTATCCAGCACTTAAGCTTCATATATGGAAAGCCCAGCATCAGGTCTGAATTAGCTCCATCTGCTCAAACATTCTGCCTCTCCCTCCTTCAGAAAACACACACATTTCTCTGAATTAAACAGATGTTACCCAGATGGACTCCAGGGGATAGTCAGGGTCTAGACTGCCCTCTGCCAGATCAGTTAGAAAGGAACATGTGAGTACGGACTAAAAAGAGAAACTTTCCAAGATTCACTGGCACAGGTTGCCCACGGAAGCTGTGGCTGCCCCATCCCTGGCAGTGTTCAAGCCCAGGCTGGACAGGGCTTGGAGCAACCTGGCCTAGTGGAAGGTGTCCCTGCCCATGGCAGAGGGCTGGAACTGGATGAGCTTTAAGGTCCCTTCTAACCCAAACCATCCTATGATTCTATGATAAGATTGCCTTACGTACCATTGTGGGATATAGTCAAAGCAAATCTGGGATTTTTTAACTAACTGGAGATTTTCTGATCTTCCACAAAAGCAGTTTTATCTACAGGCACATGACAAATGTGTCAGGAGTAGAAAGAGTCTGGTGTGTTAAGGGGAAATCAAAGCCTACAGCGTTTTATCTACCAAGCAACCCAGGGTCCAGCAGTTCCCAGCCTCAGACTGTGCTGGCGAATGACTGAGAAAACCAAAGAAGAAGAACACAGTCTGTTTGTCACAGTCACAAAAAGGCTCTACACAGAAAGATGGCTTTGATCCGCCTGTTTCTTGTTGCCCTTTCACAGGACCAGAGAGGAAGGCCAGGGCCAGCAATATCCAGAAGGGTCACGACTTCCTTCCCTTGTATGGCCTCATTTTTAACAAGATTTCACAGGGAGATTAAAACGTTTATCAGAAAACAGGTTTGGCCTGAAACACGACACTTAAATGAAATGGATAAATAATGTTCCCAGTCTTTAAGGCATAAACAATGTAGAGCAACAAGGACAACCACAGTGGCTTACCAAGAGCCAGAAGTACCAGAGGTAGAGAGAGAAGCAGCTCAGCACTTGGACTATAGCTGTCAGCAGGATCACATCCTTGAGGTGCCTAAGGGAAGAAAAGCAAAACATGAACCTTCCATTCCAGGCCCTGCTGCACACACCAGCTCCTCTGGCACCAGAGCCTGTCTGTGCTGCCTTCAGGGAGCAGCTCTGCCTGCTCGTTGTGGGTCTGCTTGGCCACACAGGGTAATCTAGAAGAATCAGAGCAGTAAACAAACATAAATGGATCTGATGAGCTAAAGAGCCAGGCTTCCTATGAAAAGGGACATTGAGAAAGCTGAGGAATGCAGGGGTGTGGAAATCAGCAGCAAAACCACTTCCCCCACAGTATGCAGCAGCAGCCAGTGCCTGCTGATTTGACACACATCATGGCATGAAGCTGAGCTGCTCACGGCTGGCTGCACTGAGGGAAATACGCATCTTCCCTATGCCATTTCACACTCAGAGTCACCAAAGGGCTAGGTGCTGCACGGACAAGCACACCATGGCCTGCGTGGTGAGCTACAGCAAGATGGCTCCCTCTGCCCTCCTGCTTATCCAACCCTGGGATCTGCCACACCAGCCTGAGGCAGAGCCAAGAGCAGCTATGGAGCCAAACAAGCTGCCCACACTTAAACTACTGTTCTCAGGACACCTGACACCCAGCAGAAGTGAGCAGGTATTAGTTTTTTCAACAGGAGTCATGGGATGTGTCATGTAGGGTTAGAAAACACCAACTTTCACTCCCATTAAATCATTATCTGCTGGAACAAGAAACACTTGAGCCAAATCCAAGAATGGGGTCAAGAAGACAAAGGCAAAATAATCAAACAGCTTGTCTCATTCTGGGCAGCACAGCAAAGTGACCACAGACAGCTGGTTCAGGCTGGGACACCATCATCAGCTCAAGACACTGCAGAATCCACCATCAACAGCTCCATGACCAGACGATGAGGTGCGGAAATCTCGTGCATCACCAGAGGACACAGGGGTGATGGCAGAGACCCCAGAGAACCAGCTCTCCCAGGGACCAGCAATGTCGCCTTCCTCAAGCCCAGAGCAACACAAAAATCTGCTTCAGTTACAGACAGCAGGAGGCAACCACCATCAAATCTGCGGCATTCCAGAAGCAGCTCCAAAAGAGGACAAGTTCATCTGCTGCAGCACACTCAGCCGAGAGGCAGGAAAAATCCCCTGCGTTCTGGAAGTAACCACTTGCCTGGAGTAGTTCCACCATCCCCAAAGTGGCAATTTAGAGCTGACAAACGGATACAGCCAACAGGAGGAGCACTGAGTGTTTGTTAACACTTTGTGCTGATGTACCAGCAGGGTTAAACTCTCAGGGCTACGGGCTCTGCACAGGTACAAAGGCACAGGGTAAGGATGGGAACTTGGGCTGTATAGCTTTTGAGAGCTCATCCTCCCTGTGCTTTGCACAGCCTGTGCCTTGGACAAACATCAATTCATTTTAATGTGTTATAAAACTCACCCCAACAGTGTGTTGCTCAGGCAGAAAAACCTCAGCACCACAGTACCTGTCACCTTTTTACAGCAGGTAACGGGATCCATTGCCAACTCCTGTCAGTCATTTCCCTTGGCACGACCATCACACATCTGCATGGGACAAGTATCAGCGCACCCACCCTGCCTTGGTGCCTTATACATCTCCCAAAGGTACCTCCCTCAACCAGGATACCCTGGATGACACCAAACTTCTGTATTTTCTTTATTCAACTGTCCCATGGTGCCATTCACAAAAAAAGGTACCCAAAACACAGAATCCCAGAGTGATTTGGGTTGGAAGGGACCTTAAAACTCATCCAGTTTCAACTCCCTGCCATGTAAAGCGACACCTTCCACTAGACCAGGTTGAGCCACAACAGTGTAAAATGGGAGAAAAATGCTCAGCTGACCGTCAGGAAAGAGAAATCACTATAGGATGAAGGCGGCATAAAGCACCCAGCTTACAAGTCACACTAGAAATAACTCCCTCTTCCTGGCCACCTCATTCCTTGGCTCTTACACCAGGCATCCAAGTCTCTCTGGCTGCAAGTAGCAAATCTACTATTCCAGTAACAAAACCAGAGATGAGAGCTCATTCTATGCAGACAGCAAGTTCTGTGCTGCACAAGCAGGTCTGTCTGCTGGTAACACCTGCTAGCTGCAGGAACAAAGCTCATGTTAAAAAAACCCGAAGTGTATTACTCAATAGATGGCCCTTCCAGCATGAGAGCACTTGATGTGATGCAGCAGGCTCTGCTGGAAGCACCCTTGAAAAAGCCTGCCAACAAGAAGATGGAGGTAAACCTGAAATCATAAGCCAGAGATGTGGGAGGGAAGGGGACAAGGACTCCAGGTACCTCACTCAGCACACACTTAAGAACCCCAGCACAAGGTGGGCCAGCAGATGGAGGCTGAGGGCAAGGAGACAGAGAGCAAAGCCATGTGTCCACAACTGCCTGGCAGTTTCCTGTAACTAGTCTGAGGGCAACTATTAGAAAACACGTAAATCTAGAAGCTGTTTCTGCTGCTTCAGTACTGCTGTCTCCTTATTTTATGTAACAGAACTCTCCAGGAATTGCCACTGTGTGTTGTTTGACCAAGCATTAGAGCACTGCAAAGAACACTGGACATGCAAACACTTGGTGCTGTCTGCAGACAGACATGAGGCATTCACAAGCATAGGGAGAAGAAAAGGCTGAGGAGACAAGAGAAGCTGCTAAAGGCCATGCTGGAC